GTATTAGAATGGCGGATTAAGTGTGCATGAGACTGCATGTTGAAAGTACGCATGTGAGAAAAGTGTGTAGTAAAAACGTTATTATTGTTGTAGTCTATATCGAATTTTGTTATATGCCTCGACTAGCATGCAAAACGCATGATACGTCTTACGACGTGGTTTGTTGTGCATAAAGAAGGAGTAAGATAAAGCAAAAATGAATGCTGTGCATGTGTGTGAAAAAGAGAGAAGTAACAGAGAAAAAAGCGTTAAATGAATGATAAAGCGTCATCGAAAAGACTCGATCCCTGCGTACACGCGACAGTTTTTGTTAAAAGAAGGAAAGTATGCGATGAAATTCAGAGTACAGTCTATTACAATAAAGATTAAAATGTGAGTGTGACAGTTGCCCAATACTCCTTGCAGTTGTCTAGTATTCGCCGAGTACACCAATTCGACACTCTCGCTCAATGTCCGGAGTATGATGATCCCATATTCATTTGTTGCAAAGATTTTCGAATGAATTCGTAACATAATAGTATTTAAAAGTTTCCCAATTAAAAGTAACATAATATCAATGCTACAATTTCACACTCAACGATGTAATTTATGTAATATAATGTGTTATATTAAATTTATGTGTTATATTAAATTTATGTGGTTGAGTGCGAAATTATAATATTGACGTTGTTATTTTTAATTCGTGTCGATTAAGTTATTTAACTTAAAGTTTTATTGAAGCAGTCTCAAACGCTCGTATCTAAAAGAGAAAATTGCGTTAACTATATGTATGTATGTGGAATATATTTTTGAAAAATATGAATTTATAAGATTCGAGCTCTTCGATTTTCAAGATAAATTTAAATCGGTGTTACCTAACGTAAAAAAAATCGAGTCGAGAGTAACGAGTTTGGTGGGGCCATTGTGCGCTTCTACCGCATAACGAGATAAGTAGCGATCGAAAGATTTAAAGGGAGAAATTTGTAATAGCGATCTATGCCTCCTCGTCGAATCATGAGAGAGCAATCGTATGAAATTATTAATGTGGAGAACCGATTTTCTAACCGCGATTGCATCCGCATTTGGTCTGTCCGCTTGTCAGTCGAGCAAGCGAATTATCCTCGAACTCGAAGGCAGATCGGACCGAGTGCGAAAATCAAAATTGGATCTGCCTTTTCTAATGGCTAGTGTTTAGAGATTAATGGCATGTTCAGATGCGACGCCGACGCGAACGTTCCATCACATTAGCCTGTCAATTCCTCGCAGAAATCGAATCAGAAAATTTTCTAAACGAATTATAGGTCATTCAAAATTATAACTTGCACAATCTCAGAATCTAAATTTTTACATTTTTACATTTTTTTTCTTTGTTATAAGATGATACCGCAGAAAATAAATTAATAGCAACATTACATCAATATTACTCACATAATTTCCCACAGCTCGTAATTAACAATATAATATATTGTACATAACAGTTGCATTGTTGAGTAGGAAATCATAACATTGATGTATTGTTACTGTTAGTTATTGTGTTCTGCGAATGTTAATGGAATTATTTGATATTTCCGATTTTGTTTTTATTATATTGTATTATAAAAATCTGTATATAGATTATCCTCTTCTTCACTCAATTTAATTTCTTAACTCAATTTAATGGGAATAAAATTATGCATTTTTTTAATATTCGAAGTTTTGAGTTTTACACACACACACACACACACACACACACACAAATTGTCATAGTGTTATATATTTTTAATGAGATTGTCAAATCATTCAAGACATGATTTATATAATCGAGTAATGTGATAGTGCGTTCGCTGTGCACTGCAGCTGGAACTGCGGATTTCTAGAACTAAAACTATATAGCTCTTATATTCGATTCATACATATGTAAAATCGACTTTGAGATCTGTCTTCTCGTTGAATCATATGAAATCGATCGGCGCGTATGTCTTTCCCTTGTGGCTGACTTGCACACAAATAAATTGATGAATAGTTTAGCTGTTGTTTTTTCAAATACGCAAACCCCCTCAAATTTTTATTTGCTTGTATAAAGTAACTATATCCATATATAGTTGCATAAACGTAATTGCATAAAGAAAATTATCTAATCACATTTTACGTACGACTTTAAAAGAGCAATGCAATTGGATAATTTTCTTTATTATGCATATATTTATGCGGCTATGCAAGTTTGTGTGGATATCCTTTGTTGCAATGTGAAATTTATTTAGTTTGAAAAGAAAAAAAGCATTCAAATTGATCGCACATGTAATATATACACTACCACTCAAATTGGAAATTCACACGCACAAATTTTATCTCAAATGATCATGTAAAAAATTAAGATTTTATAAAACAGTAATTATTTTTTAATATATTTTTAGATCACTTGTATACATACTAACAATTGCAAAAACTTTATAAATTAGTTTTAATTTTGTATTCCAAAAAATATTGTCTTTATTGGAACATTGATATGAGTATAATCGGTAAATTTCAAAAATTCGCTCAGAGAACACAAATATGGGCTATAATGTATATTGCCAACCTATTCCCGTAAGTGGAGGGTAGACTAGCAAAAACTTTATAAATTATTTTTAATTCTATATGTCAAGAGTGAATTTTTGAACCTATTATATTATCAATGTTCTACGAAATAAAGATAAAACAAAGGAAAAACATTTTGGCATAAAATAAAAAATAATTTATAAAACTTGCAATTGTTAATATGTGTACAAGTGACCTAAAATATATTTTAAAAAATAATATTGCTGTTTTACATCTTCATTTTTTACACGATTATTCAATGAAATTTATGCAGGTGTTCAAACTTCCATGAACGAATGTCTATACAATTAAGGGAGCAATTCTGCAACTCTTAACGACAGTCATTGATGTCATTTCGCAGTTTTTTATTCTACATAATATCTGCGTGATATCAACGAGTGTCGTTAAGAGTTATAATTAAATTAACTCTCGAACAGTACACATGGGTCTATTCGTGCCACCAAATAATTCTTATTTCTCATATATCTGTGCGCCTGGCCCTATGCTCTTCGATAAAAAATCTTTGTGATGGAGGAAATATAGGGAGTCACAACAACGACACGAGACTTCTATGTGTTGTTCTGTGTCGAGCAGTGCAGTCGCAAAGTCGCGTGCGGAACTAAAAGACTATCCATGTATGTCATTGGAAGGTGTTTTTTTCACAAATAAATTCCATAATATAAGAATATAAGGTATTTATTGCGCATTATGGCCAGCAAACTAAAACAGAACAACCAATCAAGTGCTTATCCTAAATTTAGGATAACGCTTTGATTGATAAAAGTAACTGCCATGTTTAAGACGACTGTGCATCCTTGGAAATGGAATATCTTATATTTTTATATCATGATGAATTCAGTTATTTTGCTATTTTTTTACTGATTGTGAGTAGACTTATTTTGGCCGCATTTGCTTTGGCACTCACAGCGCTTGTGAGTATTAATTGTCCTTATTTAATATATAATAAACAAGGATGAAACGACACTTGAAGCGTTGTAAGCGCCAGAGCGAATACAACTTTTATCGTATACAGGATGTCCTGTATCTTTTAATATTTCAGGGAGTGAACGAGGATGAAATTTTAAATTAAAAATTCTTTTGCCAATTTTTGGCTCAGACTTTATTTATTTATTTATTTATTTATTTATTTATTTATTTATTTGTTGATATTAAAAATTAAAATAATTTTCAATTAATTAGAATAAGTTTCAATCGAAATAATGTATAGCAAGTGCGAGGATTCCATAGTTTGTTCTTGCATACTCCGTCTGCGTGCTGATTGATTAACTTTAATCATTAATAACTCGGTAAGTGGTCTGAGCCAAAATTGGAACTTTTAGTTCAAAATTTCATTCTTTTTGAAAAAGAAATTGACAATTGTTCCAGATTATTCTGAGTTTGTTTTACATTGTTCCAAAGCGATATTACCTTATTCCAAATCGTTCTCCAATAAAGAAAATGGAAAAAACGATTATTTTTGCTAACCCTCCTTTTTTGAAAAATCGAACAATTTCTTCTCACTACAGATTGTTGTAGTTGTTCCAAACAGGACAATTACAAACATTATTCTAAAAGGACAATTCCATATGATGAACGGAAATAGCAGAAAACAAAAAAACATTTTTTTAATAATCGAACAATTCATTATCGCCATGGATTCTAGTTGTTCCAAAAGAACAATTCCATAAGTCGAATGGAAATCGAGAAAAATAAAAAAAACATTTTTCAACGAACGATGCATTTTTATGATGCATTCTTATTTTCAAGTAGTTAAAACCAAGCAGAAATAGACATTTAATGTTCATTCAGATTATCCTTTTTATTATTGTACAATAATATTTATATTTTAACAACAATTTTTATTATGACATAGAAGCATAGCTCAATTTCAAATTAAAAATACTTTGGATATCTCATATTACGATTTTTGTGCCTTACGGTTTTATTCATCAAATCTAACTTCTGTAATTAAACAATTCAACATATCTCGTATTTTTCTATTAGAACAATCTTACTCTATCATTACAGAATTTATTACATTGAAGAATTTATTGTCAAATATTTACTTTTATTAAATAATAAACAAGATTTAAAACTCATCTCAATGAAACTTAAAGATATCCAAATTTTTAAATCTTTTTAATCTTTTTTACAATGACTACAGATATTTAATAATGAATTTTCCACTAAATAGTTCAATCCAAGAACAACAAACTCATAGTGGAACCAACAGATAACGTTTATTAGTTTAGCGGAAACGCCGCTATCTCATATTAGGCGCTCTCATAATAGGGGGCTTTCCTCTATAGGTTAGCAATTCTCTTGGAAGAGCGCTTTGATCTTAGCTCTCAGGTGCTGCATCAACTCCAAAAAATTGTAAAAAACAAAAACAAAATGATTAAAGGAAAAAATGTATGGTGTGCAGTACCAGCGTGCACAAAAAAATTTAATTTAGAAAAGCGTTATTTTTTCCGATTTCCAAAGGAACATGTAAGGTGTGTTGTTTTTATCACTTTTTATATAAATCAATTTTCAATTCTATGTACATTTTTATTGACAAAATATCTCATTTATAGATGGTTGCAATGGATACGAGCGTGTGGAAGGCTGGACTTAGAATCAAAAGGTCCAGAATATGCGTACCAGAATTGTCGGTTGTGTCATTTGCATTTCAAAGAAAAATGGTACAAAATAAATAAAATGAGAGCTCGTCTTCATCCAGATGCCATACCGACAATATTTTTTGGACCAGAATGTGGGAAGTGAGTTTTTATTTATAATTTAATTTATTTTTAGTGAACGCAAAGTCTGTTTTTATATAATAGAGATATAAAAGGAAAAAAATGTAATTTATTTAAAAATTAATTTAAAAATAATTTATATCTATGTAATCAATTTAATAAATGATAATGAGCAAAACAATATTTTACATTTCATTTATTATTACACATAATTTATGAAATTAAGAAATAATAACTATCTCTTTTTTAGAGAAAACACGATGGACATAGACATTGAAGACAAAGCAGAAATAAATAAGTATGTTAAATTCAAATGCTTTGTATTTAAATATTTTTGTTTGTATACTTATATAGGGTGAATCACAGTCATTAAACAGTTTTTTACCCTATGAGAAAATAATTGGCTGTTAATTCACATTATAATTCAATTAGGTATGAAGTCGATAATTTTCTCATAGGATAAAAAATTAATTCAACGACTCTGATTCATCCTATATATATTATATATATTTCATACCTATACATATATTATATATTATTTAATTTGACGGTAACTTACTTGGTAAATTATGGTAAATTATCTGATAATTTTGGAGAGCTGATTAAATGATAATTTAAAAAAAATTTTTTAAATATAAAAAATTTGATATGCAGCTCAGAAAGAGTATTGAGTAAAACATTTTATCTAACATATATTTTCTATAAAATATTTTAA